GGGGGTACTGCACTGTCTGGGATCGATACTTGGGGAGTGCCGCACTGCCCAGAGTTACAGAATCACACAACGGCAGAATTGTTACTTTTTCTGAGGGATGCCATTCAGCCCACCATGCCCGCACTGGCTCATTGGCATGAGGTAATGATGCTCATTAATCTTCTGCTTTCTCCCAATACCCCTGTATGGTAATTTTATCGAAATTATCATTCACTGCCCTCTTGAATGCCTCAATTGAACCTGCCTACACTACCCTTCCAGGCAGTGCATCCCATATTCTCATTGCTGACTGAGTGAGAAGTTTTTCCTCACTTCACCTCTGCTTCCTTTCAGATCAGTTTAAATCTGTTCATTCTTGCTCTTGTTTCTTTTATGAGCATGAACAATTTATCACTAACTCCTGTTTCCAGCCTGCTCATGTTTTGAAAATCTATTAGATCTCCTCTTACCTTTCTTTTATCCAAAGAGAACATAACCAAATTTCTTCAATCAGTCCTCATAACTGGCACTTCTAATTCTTGGAACCATACTTGTAAACCACTTCTGCACTCTCTCCAATGTGTTGATATCCTTCCTATAATGTGGCATCCAGAACTGTAAATGGTACTCCAGCTGAGGGCTAACAAAGATCTTGTACAAGTTCAACATCACCTTCTTCCTGTTGTACTCTATGACCTGTTAATAAAGCTGAGGACACTGTATGCTTTCCTTTCAGTGATTTGTGCAGAGTACGCCCGAGACCTTCTGCTCCTGTACTTGTTTTCGAATTTTACCCATATTTTACATTGTTTTTCAATGCCCTTTCTACGAAAATACATCATCTCCCACTTCTCTGCATTATGAGACCAAAAGACTTAGGACTGTTGCCTGTCTCTGAGAGACAACGCTTAATATATAGACAAAGATACAACTGAGACACTTAGAGCTCTATAAAACCATAATTCATTTATTAAGTACTTAAATGAATAACACACTTTTAACTACTAGAGATATCTCAAGCACTGTCTCTCACTACCCTGATTTCTGTAACTAAACCCAAATGCTATTCCCTGGGAGAGTTCGCTGCTAGTCAGGCTGAAACTGGACCATTTCTGATGAAGGGTCTAGGCCCGAAACATCAGCCTTTCTGCTGCTATGATGCTGCTTGGCCTGCTGTGTTCGTCCAGCTCTGCACCTTGTTGTCTCGGATTCTCCAGCATCTGCAGTTCCTATTATCTCTCTCAAAGTCTTCACCATGCCTCCTGATGTAGGATACCTTGTTACAACGTGAGCCTTCAAAGTGTTGTTGAACAAAGGGATTTCTTCAGGCTTTTAATATACAAGTCTCTGTGCCACGTACGTTCCTTACTTGGAATTATGCGTGCACATGACCAATCCTGAACGTTTTGTCCAAATGTAAGCCTTCTTTGGACTTATCTGTGCACATGAGCAATCCCAAATGTTTTATCCAAATGTATACCTTATAAGATAGAGCCAGCAGTTCCTGGTTTCCTGCAGTTTTAACTCTTAATAAATCTGACTGACTCAGGATATTTCCATTCACAAAGCAGCCCATTGTTAGGCCTCTTACCAGTTCCTGTTATCTTCAGCCTTATCCAACATCTCCGCTGAACACCCCTCCTTTTGATCCAAAGATTTATCTGAGGATCATTCCTATTGGGTTTGCTACATTCTGTAGGCAGCTCCAAACAATGGTGAGCATTACCTCCTTACAGTGATGTATTCTCAATGAAGCATTACTTCAGTTATATTATCTGAAGTGCCATTTAGCTCATTGTACTTATCAAAACTATAGTTATAAACCAAAACAAAGTTTCAAATCAGTCTCAGTCTGTCGCAAATACATTGGTATACATCTTTCCAATATTGTATGATACATATAATATCAATAAAAATGACAAATGAACGAATCGTAAGAAATACTACAAACTAACTATATTTACGTTATTCCTACCCTGTAATAAGCTATTACAAAACCTCTTCCATACAAGATATCTTTTGGTATCTCAGACTAATCCCTGTTGTCACATTCTCCCAACGTTATGTGTAAATGGTGACAATTGTCCTGCACCCCTCTAAATGGTTTTAACTGGTTAGTATGATACCAGCCATTCTTAAGGCTGTTAGCACCTTGTATACTGATGGACTCGCTTTGCCTATCACTTCACATGGTCATGCAAACCTAGGGACCAGGAAGAATGTTTTTTGATGTACAGGTATTATTACCTTCTGCCCCACCTGCAGCTCCATTGGCTTTGTCTTGGAATCAAAGTGGGCCTTACTTTGTTGTTTCTTCCTTCCTACGTTATTTGCAGCCATATAATTCACTTCTTTTGAACTCTCAACCAGCTGTTGTACCCACTTATCTTTCATTATTCTATCTACTTATGGTTCGGATAGTCTAATCCTAGCTATGGTTCCAGGCCACACATCTCTTGACCCGGCATCAACCTATAGTGGGTAAATCCTGTAGAGGAAGCTACAGTGCTTCTTATTATCATCAGGGCATAAGGAAGCACCAACAGCTAAGTGGTCTGGTGCTGCTGTACCATTTTGGCCAGAATACTCTTCAAAGTTCGATTAATCCTTTCAACTATCCCACTGGATTGGGGCCTATAGGATAAATGGAACCTTTGTTTTATCCCTAGCAGTGTCATAACATTCTGCATCACCTGGGCTGTAAAATGTGTCCCTTGATCTGATTCGATTCTCCTTGTTAAACTCCAACGAGTAAAACCTTTTCTAACAAGACCTTCGCCGTGGTTTTAGCGGTATCAGTTCGAGTGAGAAACACCTCTACCCGATTGGTGAAGATATCTACTATCACCAGGATGTACTTATACACTCCAGTAGTTGGGAAGTGGGGCTAGGGGACCCAACAAAGTCAATCTGTAGATTTGTCCATGGCCCTTCCACCCCCGTTGGCCTTGTGTGTGTGGGAGCTCCCTTCTTGACATTTTTGTCAGGGTTATTTAGGACACATAGCAAACAATTTTTCACACAATGTTCCACATATCCCTTTCACCAAACTACCTCTTTCAACTTCTCCAATGTGTTTTCTAACCCTCTGTGTCCATATATATCATGATATCAATAAGTCATCTGTTTCCTTTCATTCACTGATACTACAAATTCCCCTTTACACAGTACTTCACCCTCTTTTACATGTAAGCCTTTTTGTTCCTTATATTCCTGTGATTCTGTTCCTTCTGCTAGTTTTTGTAGTTCTTTATCCTTTCTTTGTTATCCTGCTAAGTCAATTGGGGCCACTTCTTTCTCTTTCTGTGCTCCTATTTCCTCGATCTGTGGCTGCCATTCTTCTCCTGCCATTGCTCCTCATTTGGCTAATTCATCTGCTTTTCTATTTTCCTCTAGTGCTAACTTAGAATGAGCTTTCACTTTCATCACTTCATAATTTTTTCCCTTTCGCCTTCTCAAAGATGTACCTCTGCAATGGGGCAGATAGGAGGACCATGCCATCTGTTGACACAAAGCCTCTAGCCTCCCATCAGGGTAGATATTCTGTCAGACTGTTGAACACGTACATACTACACACTGAAGAGAGAGTAGATCCTTGGGGTAATTTATCTGGGTAGTTCACTATATATGCCACAGCTGCCAACTCAGCTGCTTGAGCACTCATGGTTTTTGGCAGCTTGAGGGCAATGCTGTTTACTTCTCGTCCTTGCTCATGTTCCATATGGATACCAGAACCAGTTCTCCATTCTCCATCCTGTACAGACAAAGAGCCATCAACAAAAATTTTTAAGGGTAATTTATTATTGCCCTGCTCTTCTCTTATTGTTGTCTTTGTCTGTCTCTTGTCTTGGATATTCCCTGTGTTCTCTTTACCAGTATTTCCTCCTTTTTGTTTGATATAAAAGATCCCGTGGGATTACTTGCTATCACTATTTGACACTCCTGGGGTGTCCCCTAGTAAATTAAGTTATCTGTTAAATGGTAGTACTTTTAATCTTTCTTACCTCTATATTTCTCCCTTGTAATAACAGCGTCCATCTTGCAATTCTGTTTTGGCTTACTGTGCCATCATTAATACATCCATCCAGCAGCATCTAAAAGGGTGTATGTTCTGTCAGAATTTACCTACAATGTAGGTAAAATGTTGTATCGCCCAGAATACTGCCAATAAATGCTTTTCACATGCTGTGTACTCCTGCTGTACTGGCATGAGCATGCACAAGGCATAGGCTACTGGTCTCAGCTGACCATGTACCTCTTGCAATGAGACCACTGATATTGTGGAGTCTGTTGCAGCCACCTCCGTGGAGATTGGTTCAGCTGGGTTTGGGGTTTTTAGGGCATGAGCACTTGCCAAACCCTGTTTCAAAGCTATTATTGCTTGTGTGTGTTCTGGCTTCCATTCCCATGGAGTATTTTTCTTCAATAACATCATTAATGGTGCTGCCTTTGTGGCAACATGATCAATATGGTCTCTACAATACCCAAT